GTCTTCGTTCCAGAGGAGGTCAGAACTTCTGCTATGTTTCCTTTCTTAAGTAGGGAACAAAAGCTTCAACACTCTACAGATGATGGTGATATCTTGCCCAATCATATATCCCGAGCCATAACAAATTTGACGGACAGGTCATAAACTTTACAATTGACCAATAAAAATTTGTCTTATAATCGCAAGATTAATGCCAAAACAAAGGAAACGTGCTCAGATTAAAACATCTGTTGTCAGATTTTGATGGATATCTATCAAATATCAATACCGCAATATATTAAATACTAAAGAGACCAAAAAGAGGAGTTTCCTTCCGACAGACCGTCCGAGCCACTCGTTAGCCTCCCCCCAACTGGCTCATTTGGCTAGCTCTCCGCCAGTCTCCTTCTTTTAGCTCGGTACACACCGGGGGAGCAGACGCGTTACGAAAACGCGAAGCGGGGAGAAACCCCTTCGTGTGTACGCATAGGACGCACGTTGAAGGGACAGTGCTGACATCTGGTGCACACATAGCGGATATTGGTTTATTTCCATGTTGTGGCGGGGACAGTTTGCAAGAGCAGTGCAGATGATGCGACATCGAAAATTGAATTTATTTTAATATTTGAGGAGAACAATGTTGAGCGATACACAATATCCTCGCTCTTTGAAGATTAAGGTCCCGTCCACACTGTACTACGCCGGAGAAATTTGAAAACGGGGGTTTCACTCTGAAAACCCATCAAACGTTTTCCGTCCATACTACGCCGGAGAAATTTAAAAACGCAACAATCACCTGCCATTTTGGATTTGTGTTTGAGGACTCGGTCCGGAATACCACACAATTAACGTGTCGCCATCGTTTTCGAAAAGCTCCGTTTTCAAAATGTTTTCCATCCACNTTCAAATTATTTTCTATACGTAGCATTTAGAGTAATTTTCGAAGCATTCTCATACATTGTCTTATAAACGTCGAAAATTGTAACGCAATCGCCAACAGCATAATGTCACGTATTAATCGTATTCAACGTCTGGGCCGCCTGTGGTACGACCACTGTTCATTAGAATACCGCCGTGAAATAATAATACCAGGCGATACAGTTACCTGCTTGTCACTTTTGTGGCTTGAAGACGTAAATACCAACAAACAAGAAATTATTAAGAAAGAATGTGACAGACTGGCTGGTTAAGACAGAATCTATAATAAAAGAAACTGTTAAAGTAAAAGCGAAACTAACCACATCCGTATCTTTAGGACGACCTGGATCAAGAACAATAATTAATCCAAGATCACTCGGATCATGGCACACTGATCAAAGGAACCAATGATATGCTCCTGTGTGGGCCTAATACTAGAAATCACTACCTCTTCCCCAATCGCCGCTCCTTTGGAGCGAGGAGAATGGGGTTGAACTTGAGCTCTAAACTAAATAAAATACATATCTTTATTGATCAGTCCCTCAATGGGGCTTTTCAGAGCCAATGCAAGTAAATACTCAAGTCCAAGGGGGAGGGGGAGGGTCAATTGGCAAGCACTTACTCCCCGCTTCGTCGCCAAGCCCCAGGTTCCCTGTTTCTCGCCGCACAGATCAACGACCAAGTGCAACACGGGCGACTGAGGACGAGGCTGTACAGGTAGTTTCTTGTTGTCACTTATCTGAAGTGGTGTTGAACAGTGAAATCGTTCTTGTGTGTAGTTTCGTGACAAGACACCAAAAGAGAACATCATGGCAACAGAGAATCAAGGAAAGGTACACTGCTTGTTCTTATAAACCACTAATTCCCATCTTAAGCAGATCGAATTCTACTTTCAATGTCGAAACAGCGCCCGTCGTAGACAGGCATGAGATAGCAGTGAAGAAATCTCAATTAAGGATACGTTCTTAAAAGTACCTCTGAAAACGAAATGGAGTAATGGAAATGTTAACGGGTTTCAATTGTTTAGTGCTAGGAAGAGAACAATCTCTGAAAGCAGCGTGTTTTTCACGCCAACGAATGAGAAAACCCGCCTGCTTTTCACACGCCAACTGGCAAAAGACAAGAACCCGTTACTTTTGCAGACAGTGGGTGGAACTGAAGTTAATTCACTGTTTGATTCTTAAAATACCAACTTTCTTATATCATCAGCAACTAGTCAAGTCAGAAGTGGCCCTAATTCTAAAGAAATCAGTTGGTTATATTCGTTTGGTCATGTTGGTCTTAATCACACCTCAGCTCATATAACCTTTAAGGTCGTCTGAGTGCTTCTGCTTTCTACGTTCCAACAAAGCAATGGAGAAAACAGCATGAAGAAATGAGTGTTTAGTTTCTCTTTCTGATGTTTATAGAATAGTAGCGAGCGATTGCTTGATCATACTTAATAGTAACGATTCGTAGACTGTTTCTGTAAGATTCCCAGAACTTTTCTAAACCTTAAGTTAACCCTCATAACGAGAAAATCCCAAAAGTTTTAATTGGCGTATTTAAAAACTGGCTAAATATTTCCCCAGGGTAGCCCTCACCCGTCTCCTCGTCTCGCTCGCTGCTGAGAAGAAGTCTTTATCATTTTTAGCAGTGTGTGACTCGAGGAGATAGCTGAAATTCAGGCTTTCCTCGGGCTATTTGCAAGAACACCTGTTTTCGCGGGAGGGGTAAGGGACTCTTATGTACCAGTGCAAAAATCTCCCTTGTCCACCTCAAACGCATTTGTTCAACTTGGAGTAATTGTAGTCTCATGTGTTATGCTACTACTATAGAGCCATTTGAAAGAATAAAGGGTTCGTTGCGTTCTTTAATTTGGAATGATTCAGATTAGGATCTATGATTCAAGATCACTTGGATCATGGTGCTTCAGCGAAATCGGCAAATCCTTGTTGAAAGTGGATTCATCGCTTCCTTTGATGCACTATGATCAGAGTGATCCTGGATTATTGATCCTGGTTCAGATCGTCCCAAAGAAACGCACCTTGTTAGTTTTGTGTTTACTTTGACAGTTTCTTTTATTTATTTGTAGATTCTCAATCTGTCTGTCACAGTGTTCTTTATAATAGCTTGTTTGTTGGTGTTTACGTCTTCAAGCCACAAAAGTGACAAGGAGGTAATTGTATCACCTCATTGAAGTAATAGGGAGCTTAAGCAAACCACGACGACGACGGCAACAAGAACGTCACCAAACAAAAGGTTTAATGAGTAAAGCAATAGCTGTGCACGTGCGTTGTAAAGCTATGTACAGTACTTTACCGTCCACTGCAAAACAAGAACGTGAAATGATCAAGTTCTGCGTAGCCTGAGGAACGCGAACGACGACGACTAATTTTTCGTATTTCCATTTGGAATTGAACGCCGTGATTGCATATTTAGCCTGAGCACGTTTTTAGAGCCATTGGCGTACTGAACAGATCTAGACAATTGCGAATTTCGCTGGTAAAATATAAATTCATTTTTCAGGGCCAAGGCGTCGTTCTCGGCTCGGCGTCGTCGTTGCACAAGCTCCCTATCATATTATTTCACAGCGGTATTCTATATGAATAATGGTCGTAGGTGGTAAAATTCAACTGAAGTCCCAATCTTGACGTCTAGTCAATCATAACTCGAAATGAACAAATCATAAAGGGGAAAATAGAAAGGAGCCAACCGCGGGAAAACTGGTGACCGACCGAAACGCGGTAAAACATGCAACTGATGTTAATTAAAAGCGGGAAAACAGGCAACCCAAAAAAACGCGCGAAAGCCGAGTCGCTACTAATGTTAGTCCTGCTCTTGAGTAATTCAAAAACAAGTATGTTTATTCTGGTGGATTAGAGCATATTCTTTGGCCTCAAGCTCTTAACACACGACTCTAATAACACCGCTCGGAACAAGCGACGTTTTTAAGGGTAACAGCTAGCAATGGTTCACCTTCATTGCAACATACCATGTTTACTGAGCCATCTTGATACCGATCACGAGAAAAAGCTGTCTTTCCGGTAATTATTTTTCAGGGAGAGAGTGAAGCTGAGCTTGAACACAAGGCCCGGGTCTGGATTGACGCGCTCCTTGATCGTGTTGTTCAGAAACAGGCCCAGGAAAAGAACGATTTTCAGAAAAGCGTTGACCGAAATGAAATAAATATCGTATAGAGCGAAGATGCACGGTGACAATCAACTTTATATGAGGTGGACAGACCGCTTAAAAGCGCAGAAAACCAATTTCACTATATATAGCTTTAAGTTATAATTGGGTGGACGTTGAGTAACACTGAAAGACCAGCAAATGCAATTTATACTTGAAATAAACTTGCTTTTGATTTTGCATTCACCTTTTTTCGTCATTTGCTCGTCGATCAACAAAGTTAAATATGAGAACAAAAGCAATGAGGTCCCCTTCAGTAAATATTAAAGTCATTGAGGGTTTTCGATTAGTCCATTAATGAAATACGATTCTGAAAAGACGGGTCTTTAAGGAGAGATACACTGGGTTCTGCGCATGTGCTTACGGTAAGGACTCTCACTCTACCAAGGAGCTCGATTTAGCCACGTAGCATTCTCATCCCCAGTGCTCGTTGACGAGTCGACCACGTGACCAAAAGAAACGGAGGATCTGGGGACGAGAATGGCCACGTAGTTGGCAAGGTAGCTGTTGGCATGCGCAGTTCAACCTAAAGTCCTAGTAGGGGGTTCTGGGTCGCTCTCTTCCCAACCGCTGGTCAAGTGCGGGACCCAACTTACTGTACGAGAGCAGAGAGGAGTGCTGGTATAATCATTGCCATAACTTCTAGTGTTATGTCAGTAACGAAGAAAAGACATCAAATCGTGTAAAGCTTGCAGAGAAAAAGCCAAGTTGTTCACTTAGCGCTGTTAAGTATCGACCAAATGGAGACATCAACATTTTCCCCGCCGTTTGATTTCTTGATTTGCCCAAAAAGACGGAAATATGACATCAGTGGTTGATTGATAGGGGTGGGAGCGGGGAAGGGGAGGGTTGGGGGATTTAGACAATTAAGCTGCCTCCAAATCATAGCGGAGAAGCTCGAGACATTAATTAACAACTCGTTCCCTCAAACAGTCAGTGACAAGCCAAAGAGTTTATTCGTCTAAAACTACAACCTGCTACAAAACTATTTCTTCGATACAATTTATAAAACCGCAAAAGGACGTCTGTTTCTCAGCAAGTCTAGAAAATCAACGATTACGCGAAACGATCGTGTTCGCAATTTACGTGGAAGTCTCTTCATTTCCTAATTTAAGTTGTACTCTCTCACAAGTCCGCGTTGTGAATTCAACATGAGTTCGATATGGAGCTCATTTGTACACATTTGCACCAGCCACCTGCCTGGGACGGCCAAAATGGTCTCCTGCCTGTGAGGCTCCTTTATTTGACCCCATTTGAAGCCCGATCACGTGCTCACCCTGCCTAAGCTGCTCCTCAGTAAATTCGCGTTTGTTGGCCGTGGCTTCTTTGGGTCCCAGCTGAGGTACAGGCATGCCTGACGAGTATGCCTATTGAACAAAAGACAAAAATCGATCAAAGGCCGATATCAGCACTCAAAACAGTGAACAGCTAAAAAATATGACAGTTTGAGCTTACCTTTCGGGCTAAAGCATGTAATCCATTGATCACCTGTGAGAGAAAAATAGGTATTAAATTAGAATGCTAAAAGGAAGCTTAAATAATTCGCTTTTACGTAAAGAATTGTTAAATAACCCGAGTAAAAGCTAACCGAAAGTATGTCGGACCGACCTAACTTGATCTCAGTCCTCTTGGCCAAGGGGTTTTGGAAGATTGCATCCATTTATTTATAGCAATCCTTCGTGTGTTTTTTTTCTGTCTCAAAATGATGACGAATATTTTGTGCGGAAACTTTGAAAAAAGTTTTCCCGAATGCGAAAAAAATGCCTTCAAGAAAGATCTACCGGCACTTCCTCCACGCGAATTTTTTCACACGGTTTTTCCCGTTCAGTTTGGAATTGATTTGCACTTGAGAGTTTTTCAAAAACTCACTCGTCCAAATTAATTCAAAACTGAACTTGAAACCGTATGATTACCTATACGAATTGGACGACCCGATGTCCTGTTACCAATTAATCATAACCATTACAATTTCCCACTATTTGAAAAATAGCTTTTAAAGGTCATTTTTAAATATCATAATTAAGAATATGGGAATAGCTTGCGAAATGGCTGTTAAGTTTCTTTCAAAACAGTCACTAACCCTTCACAATTTTACAAAGTCAGTCTATTGAATTGGTTACTATAGAGACTGTAATCAATGTTGTTATTGATGGATTTAGTGGAGAGGACTTAAAATGATTGGCTCATGTAACTGTCCGATTACAGGTGTCCGATTACAGCCAACTGTCCGATTACGACTTTGCAGATTAATTTGAGCAAAATACACCAGTTTATGCACCATTCACATTTGAGGATATTGTAATTGTTATGATTAGTTAAATAGTAGAGCAGTGCCATGAATAGAATCATAACAACTTACCTGAGGGATGTTCTGGCCTTCGTATAAGTCAACAGTCTGGAACACGTCAGTTTTGGGCACTCCCAAAGAGTCACAGAATTCTAGAAACTTTCCGATGTTCTCCATCTGAAATTTTGGAAAGAAAGCAACAAAACAATAAGATGAGCAATAACAGTCAGCTACTGAAATGTAAGGAAACGTGGTCAGCTGAAGGTTCGTACGTTCGACAACAGATTGCGCAGTCCTCAATCGAGCACTGTTCAGAATAAACTTCAAAAGTGCCTGCATCGTCGCCTGCGTCCGCTTAGAAGTATAAATACGCTCCAAGCGACCCGTTAAGGCAAAATGAATGCTAAGTTATATGCTAAGTCGGAAAAGTAACAGTGCTCCTTGTTGCTTAGTGGGAATGTAGCCGTAGAGCGTCTTGGCAGACGTCACTGCATGATAGACCCCAGACTCCCCTCAGAACACCTTGGGACCAGCCTGTATGGCCCACACGAAACACTTGGGTCAAAGTCCACCTGTCGCGTGTCCCCTTACGGAAAATGCCCGTTCATTGGACGCAGCAGAAGCGCTTTGACGTCGGATACATGAAGGTTGTGTAAGAAAAAAGGCCAAAAAATGCATTTCTTAAAACTTTTTATTAGAATACAAGATAATCTAGACCAGAGTGCTGCATAACACTGCTTCACAGATAGAAGTCTCTACTCACACACACAACAGATCGTTAAGTTGGCGGACATACCCGACCACCCCTCCCCCCCCCCCTCCGCAGAGCCATTCCCTACTGCGCATTACGAGATTCTGGAGTCGAGAATATTTGGAGGGGGGTGGGCTATTGGCTTCGTAACCACGTGCCCCCTGCTTCGCGTTCAACTCCATCAAGTATCCCGCAACGCTTACTGTCCCGCGGGCTAGTGAAAACAGTCCCGCGATCCATCAAATGTACCTACCATTTTGAAAGCCATTTTTGATTGGTTTCCTTTGATCTTTCCTCCAAGTGCATTGGCCAGACTACACAATATGAAGAAACAAAGGTTAAAATAGATCGCTTGAACGCAGAGTTCAATCAGAGTCGACTCCCCCTCTGTCCAATACAATATGTATTTTCCGCACCGCCCCCGAGGTAAACGAAGTCTCAAGCCACGTTCACACTAACCGTCGAAAAGTTAGAATCTCATGCAGAATAACGGGCGTGTATATGTAGTGTGAACAAGATATCTCACCCATGCGTCCCACATATCTGGGCTATCATGAAACACCAGGGAACAATCCAGTACAAACTGCTGCGAAAGGAGTGACGGACATTTAGAGTGTTATCCCGGGAAGCAGGAACACATTCGTGTGACATGCGACCGACGAATGATGCCGACTCCGGACCCCACTCGCGGCTTCGCTGCTCGGGAGTGTCACCCCTATGTGCGCCTGCTCTCATGCAGGCAATGAAGCCTGAATAATACGCCAATATTTTATTAGAGAGCCTGTGAAACCTAGCTACCGGCAAAACGGACAGCTCTTTGCGTGTAATGACAAAAACGTTAATGAGCCAATCCATTCCTTGTAAACATTTCCATTTTCAAACCCACGTTCCGCTCAGATTTTTGGTGGCCGATTGTCGTACCATGCCCTTTCAATATTAATGCAAGTTGCTGAAATTATTGTACCTAAACCAGGGCAGACGTATTACTACTACTGAGGCAAATATTGTAAACCTGAAAGATGCGTTTATCTCAACCGTCTTCTTCCAAGGGAGATGGCCAAAATTCAGCCTAACACAGTTAAATTTTAATGACCAATCATTTTAACATACTTGACTAAAATTACTCCATCCTTCAGGGACTCATGGAAATCTTTTGCATCCGGTTCGGGTTTAAGAACTTGTTCACCAATAACTTGATTGATCCAGCCTCTTATTTGTGCATCCAATTCCGGATCGTATTTGGCGTCTTTCTACAAGAAAACGGTGAGATGTGTTGTTCAAGGCAATGTCAACAGACTCTTGTCATTAGCCGTATTTATTAAAGATGTGGTTCTAGGCAAATACAACACGCAAAAAGACTCTTGCGTTGATAAATCAAACACGATGATAGAGAGTCTGTTGTCGCTTGATTACACAAACTTCGTGAATACAATCTTCCACCTAGTGTTTTAGCACTGCGATTCACAAATTGTGTAAAATCCGATTTTGCGCAAAGTTATTTGCCATCGGATTCCCATACAAACAGTCTACAAACACTGTAATTTCTGATCGCTTTGCCTACCCGTCGAGATGGCGTCGAAAACCGTGATAAGGTCTATGGCATCAAGCAAATGACCAAATTGTAATTAGTGGCCAGAACAAGCTCTGATCATTTTCATGACAATGGTATGACCTGTTTCACACAACCTTAATTTTAGCTTTAACCCTCGGACGTACAAGCGAAGAGGGAGGGGGGTGGGGGGTGGGGGGTTGGACTCCCCCACCACAAGGTGTTGAATTTTTAAGAAAATAGGCGGATCCAAGATGGTTGGTCAAGTGACTTCATAGCCAATAACACGTTGTCATCTTGTGAGCAAGCTCAGGGCTCTCCACTCAATGTAAATTTATTTCTCTGTGTCTTAATGCAAAGAAATCTCAGGGGAGGGGCTCCATCCACTCCTCCTTGTACCACAGTGGGGTATATGAGCTAGCTTGCATGTCTGAGGGTTATTAGTGCTTATAACTCAAAAATGAGCTTGGTGACCCCTATCTTTCATTATTACACTCCCTGTAAGAAAGCTTGTGTTACAAGCTGCACTTTTATAAATTAAAACATGGGTTACTGGACTCATGACTAGTGCACTTGACTCCGGATCGATAATTGGAATCTGGAATCCGGAATTTGGAATCCAGAATCCAGAATCTGGAATCTGGAGTACGGAATACAGAATCCACAATTCAAAGAAGACAAGTGCTGCAAATACGTGGAAATTACATCTTTAGCCTGTAAAAATTAAGAGGCCAAGAAAAAAGGACCTCAAACTTCTCCTGTTTTGAAACAAGGATTCCCCGCCTGTTGAAATTCATGCAACTGTTATTTGTAGTGGGTTAGAATGTAAATTAATGTGTGTCACAATTTGATTCTAAGCAACCTGAGAGCAACTAAAATAAGCTTGCAGGTAATTGCCATTTTGTTTAAGTAAATTTGGTGGAGGTATAAATTTGGCCTTCATGTCTAATAGATAAAGAACAAGTTAGCAAATGTCATAGGTGGTGAAGAGCTTTAAAACAGTGGGTAGGGGACGGGGGAGGGGGGGGGGGCTCATAATTAAGTCAAGGGCATACTTCCACTGATTTTTTCCAAAATGCCTTTTGTGTTGTTCGTTTGTGCCAACTCTGCAGTGTTCAATGTGTCCGTAACAGACTTATGACACTGCAGGAGGAGGCAGTTGTTTGGACGATCCTTCTTCATGGTGCTTCTAAGCTAGGTTTTTAGTCTTCGTAGGGCAGAAAATGTGCGTTCGGAAGTCGACGATGCCATAGGTAATGTGAAATACAATCTTGAACAATTTGAGGACCTCTCTTAGTAGCATTTTGGTGACAGGAGTTTTGTTGAGAGCTTTGCAAATAGTTCTTATATTTGTGACCTGACGTACTTAGGGCAGCACAGTTTTTACTACATCATGTACCTACAAGGTGAAGCTGCTGGCCAAGCTTGCCACAGTCTATATCAGTTCCAAAGCAAAACCTTTACACCAAAACGTTACAGGGGGGCTGAGCCAACCCCCTCAAATGTTTGCTTGGGGAGGCTACAGTCCCCCCCCCCCCCCCCCCCCCCCCTACCCCCTTGCTCCACCACCTATGAATGTCTGCACAGAGAACAGGGTCTCAGTCATTCCAAAGGCTAACCTGGCTCAATTCTAAGTAAGTATGTTTTTCCCAACAAATACAACTTATTCCAGATCAACACTATTTACACACTGATACTGTTACAAATCACCACTTGTAAAATATTCTTGTCTGCCATCATATTAAAACAATTTATAGAAATGTTGCACACTTACTTCTGTCTGCTCCTTGCTTACAAACCGATTGGACCATATGTGGTTAAAAGATGCTAAAAGACTCCAGGAAACTCATCACATGCAAACAAGACTTAGTGATGTTTACTTTATAGTTTGTTGTCATGGTGCTACCCACCAGTCTTCTCAGATCTAGACAAGAACTGTGCCCCCACCTGGGCCAGGTTGAAGTGTATCAACCCTGAGACACTGGAGCCTGCTTGCCAGGCTATGGGTAACTCTATCCACCCAAAAAATCACTAGCCCTGAAAGGACAATGATTTACCCAATGGAAAGCTTTACCCACCTTTTGTTTGAACAACCAAGTCACATGCATAGCTAGAGGTTGTTCAAAACTAGTCAATATTTTTTTCATAGTTACAGTTGAAGTAAAGCAGAGAAAACTTGTTTTGTGAGAACTTTAATTTTGTTACCTTTGTAATTCAGTGAATGCTTACAACAAAACAATTTTTTCTCCCTTTATTTATCTATTGGACATTGCTGAAGTGAAATACTTCTGTTGTTAGTCTTGTGCTTTTTTAGGGTTGCCCCATATTTTACACCTGCACTGCAAATTATGATTACAGAATCAAAAATACACCACTTTTCAACTCATGACATGACTGATTCTGATCTAAATCACATTTACGCTTTAAAGCAATTAGGCCAGTGGGCAGACATATTTGTACCATAACTGTGATGTTAACATATCACAACATTTTTCAGTAAACCAGGCCTACACTGTATTTGGTAACCTCGCAATGGCTGGTCATTTTACTGTAAGGGCAGATAAAACAGTAGTAAAATTTCAGTGTAACAAGATGCAGGTCTTGCATATGCTAGTTTGTCATATCAGACTTAAGTCATTTGAGATTAAGTGCTTGGTGTATAGATTCATTTTGTGGTTGTAGCAATGAGAAAAACATGATTCCAAACATACATGTTTAAACAACTTGTTATTTTAGGAACACCAGTTGAATTTTGGCAAGGTCCAGGTTAGCATTTATATAGTAATTCCACCATGTAAATGTTTTTGCTAAAACATTTCATTTTCTATAAGGAAAAAAACACTTGTAAACTTTCAAAGCCACGAAAATCAGGTTTTTCTTCTCTTCTAGTTTCTAACCCTGCTCCAGTATATTTCACTTATGTCAGTCCTAAACTTGGAACTCTTTGTTTTACTTATTATATAAATATAAAAAGGTTACATAAGCAACCAAAAACAAAAAGTTAATTGTTTTCATTTTCTACAGCATCCAGTCTCTCCATTTCAACATGAAAGATGCACACAATTTTGTCATTGATACAATTTTAATTTTAATGTTAAATCATTAACAGAAGGAATTTACCATCAGCTGAAAAATAACAGCTGAATAAAGTTAAGAGAAATAATGTCTGCCTTGTACTTACACTTTTAAGACTTATAATATATGAAGCACAGAAAGGGAACAGACCAGCTTTGTATTCGAAACCAATCTCGAGCAAATATTACATGTAATTCCGATTCATATTTACACTTAAAAGAGTAACATGGGGGAGGGGACAGGAGGGTCAGAACCTCCCACTTCCCGTACCTTCATCTCCCAACTCCCGGCCCGTTGTCTGTCCTGCTCCTGTCTTTTATAAATAAGGAGACACAAAACACATCCTACTCATTTAGCTGCGCAATCCTTAGGCAATTTCCTTTTCCTTTTTTCCTTTGTTTTCAGCCTTGCTCCTCTTACTTTGGGAAATAGAGTGCTTTATTCGGAAAACCTTAGTTTTATTAAATTTAATGAATATACCTTTGTAATTTACACCAATTTCTTCAGATTTCAGAAGATTTCAAATCTTTAAAGCTTTCCTCTTACTTGACTCCTTGTCTTTTGACAGCTTAAGTGACATTTCATGACCAGTGTGACGTAACCACCATAAAAAGGTTTCCACTTTTACTGGAAGCATCAGTTTTTTAGCCCAAGGGTGAATTTTCGTTTGCTTGTCAGCCCAGAAGTCTCAAAATAAGCTAAATGCTAGTCAAATAACATTTGTGACATTTTTGTTCGCTCTGGAATTCAATGAACGTTTGCAATTTACCATATTTAGAAGTTGGTTACCGAGTAATTCCGGTTTAAATCTGGAGCAGTTTCGATGGAAGAGAAAGCCCATTGTGTCGCCGAGAGAATTCGAACAAATTGTCACATCGTTAAAATATAGCCGCGGTGTTTCGGTTGCCAGCTAAATTTTAACAGTAAAATAAGCGATTTTAACACACTTGAACTTCGGGCAGTCACGCAAAAACGTAACAACGAGTATGCATAATTTTCCCAGCAAAAATACAAGAGCTTGCACTCAAAATTGAAGAAAATCAAGACCATAACCGAGACCTTGATATATTTTCAAGCATTAGAGAAAGTTAGAAAAAGCTTGCGAGAGACGAAAGCCGTAATTACGCAGTCACTTTTTTCCATAGCAAAACAAAGCAACCCAAATGATCTCCCGTCGTTCATATTAAAGATGCAGACCGGATAAATTGTTACGTGGAAGGACATTGGTAGCTTCAAAGACTTTCACTACTTTAAAGGAGTTTCTCAACTCGTACTAGTTTGCATTGCTTCCCCCGATTCTACAACGGAATCTAACCACAAGTGTGGAAATATATTTCGAAAGCGCCGCACTAGCAGCACCGCACCCATTATATTCGATCGCTCCAAACTTAATCGAGCAATAAGCCGCAGAGGGTGTAAACTAGTCTATGAAACGGTTTTCGACAGATTTGAAACAAATTTTAACAATCTCTAGTAGAATGCTCGACCTAATAATGGTGGGACTATTCGAAGTGTCGTGAACGTTACAAACTGGCATTATACTCGAGCTAAATAATAAAACATTCAATACGAATATTGCACAAGTCATGTAAAATTCACACAAATACAATTCAACCCCAGCTAACCTTTCGTGCTAACTCGGCAGTCATTCCGAAACCTTTGGGTCGGGAAGCCATTCTGTTGTATTCTTTTTGAATCAGCGCTTCAGAGCAGCGGCAATGTTACGTGCTGGCAGGATTAACTTCAAAGAGAATATTCTGCAGGGTTTATATTTTGCCAAGAAAGGTAATTGATTTTCAAGTGACGTCATTTACGTCACGCCGCTACGCCTCAATGATCTTCATGTATATTTCAAACATTTCCGAAAGTTGTGCCCCCTTCTTATTACTCACCGGTCATAACATTTTTTTCAGAGAAATAGCTTGGAAAAATTAACACCATTGAACAACATGAGCGTTCAGTAGTCTCGGGGCGCACAAATTTTTCACGATTTCTATTCGGCACGAGTACATTGTAACATAACAAAATGGCAAATAATTGTAACACTTCTAAGTAACTTGAGTACCGACTGTTCTCGAAGCATATTTTCCTAGCTACGTAGTTGACCTCAGACGCATAGTCTGTAAATTAATTCCAATTTAGAACACGCTCCTAATTCCTGTTGCTAAAAATGTGGCTTTGCCAAAAAATTGAAGAAATGTCCTGCATTAAACATGATTTAAACAATTCGTAAATAACGAGTCCATCACGCAAATAATATAGAAAAAAAATATTTTAACAAAATTGCTCGTTGACATCAGAGCAAGTTAACTCTGGCATTGTTAACAACACTTTTTTTCTGTCCCATTCAAGTGATAGACTGAGCTTTCACTAGCTGATTTTAACATGGTAACTGATCAATATTGTTTATTCTCCTTACAAATTCCCTCTATTTCTTTCCATGCACGTTCTGATAATTTACTGGTACATCAGCATAACAAGAGAGAAATGAGTTATTTCATAAACAATTTATTGCTCTTGGTAATTTAAGCGTCGTTACAAATTATCCCTCAAACCAAATCCAACCACACTAAAGTTTGGTGCTACTCACAAGGGAAACCTTGCACGCAAGGACATGTTGTCACAAAATCACAAGCTGTTCACATGAAAAGTGATTCAGCGGTAGCACAGGTACAGTCTTGTCCTTTTCACACAACACGTCCCTGCGACATGCCATTTTGAACAAACTTAACATTAATTTAATTAATTTCAGAAACAGTCCATGTAATTAAATGGTGATAAAACTGACTTAATTTATTTCACACACAAATGCATCCATTTGCACAAAGATTTGGTTATAAAAACTACGAGCAGCATTTTTAACATAAACAAAAATAATTTTGTGTGTATATCCTGTTCTTTAAATCCATTGTTACCATCAATAGGTCTTTAAGTGTTAGTTATGATATCTACCAATCAAAAACAGATATTGATATCCATCAGTGTTGAGTAATTTCATGGTTTCATTTCATGGTCTGTCACCGCTGGTCTGTTACTGCTGGTCTGTTAGTTATATGCAGTGTCTCCTGCAATCTGCCTTGGACGGCCATAATGGTCTCCTGCCTGGGAGGCTCCTTTGTTGGAGCCCATCTGCAGCCCAATCACATTTTTGCCTGCCTTGAGCTGTTCTTCAGTGAATTCACGCTCATGTGCTTCAGCTTCCTTAGGACCCAGGGAAGGGACAGATAGCCCTTTAACTCCAGCCTGAATTAGATAAAAACAAATATTCTGGTGTTAATAAAGATCTTCACAGACTTAACACCCACTAAAATTATGTCAATTAAGTTAATGTAATTATTATTATTATTATTATCATTATCATTATCATTATTATTGAGAGCAGCAAATGACAAAACAGCGACAACAATAACATAAAAAACAAAATGCCATTATTGCAGTGATCAAAAAGTTTTAAAGGAAATTTACACTTGCTATATCACAGTGCAATTAACCTTTCCAGGACACCAGTTATTTATCATATTTTGAGAAGATGATGTCTGCATTGAGTTAAAACTAAGACACAGTTCCATTACTGATTGAAATCCAAGATGGTTGTAAAAAGGACATGTACATGAAACGAACTGGACTGTTTTAAGTCACACCTTGTGCAAGCAAAGTTGTAATCATAATTATAGATTGGTTAAGTAAACAGACAGCAGGAAATAAATCAAATCCATCACTTTCAATTTACAGGATTGCCCTTGGCTGCGCTTACATTAAAACACCCATCTGATTTCACTGTCCCTTTCACAAAAATATAATTCTTAACCATGCATCAGCTTTAAAGATCCAAGATAAGATTTTTTCCCACTGGCCTCTTAATAACCTAAAGTTTCAAACACTGTTCACATATACTGTACACAACTGTGTAAAATGAACATGAAGAGTAGACTCACCTTGCCATATGATTCAGTGATGAATTCGTGAGGTGCAGTGTTTCGATTCTGATCATGTATAATAACATGGCTGATAGGATTGACAGATGGAAAACTAGTAAAATTTAATATATGGAAAATGCCCCTTGGATATAACATTTTTCTAAAACTAACTAGAGTATTTCAACTCTGCTATCTTTCTAGTTCCATGATTCTTGTCAAAAACCCTGCTCTAGCAATCGAACTACAAAGTCTTCCTTTTCTTATTATGTTTACCATGCTTCACATCAGGTACACATATTTGCTTTGAGGTTTGAATGGTTCACTGGATTGTCTGTGTCCTCTGTGATTGGCCAGAGTGATTACTTTGGTTTTGGTTTTACGACACTCAGTTGAAAACTGTTCTATGTTTAAAATGGCTGACAAATATTGAACAATGGCTTTACAACATTGACAGTCATTGCCCATTTATCTTTATTAAAGAAAACACCACACTACAATTAATGAAAACTACGAAAGGCTGCATACACTGGAGAACAGAAACTCAGTTAACTTACAGCATATACAAAATGAATCAAACATAATTTCCAATGCAGATTAATGTTTGAATAAAATGACTTTCAATTGCATTATAGCAACTAAATGATGCATTGGAATTGTAATCAAAATCTGCACTAAAACCTTGAATCAGTGTTAATGTGGACAGTCTAATTATAGCATAATTAAGGCAAGAACAGTAGAAATAAAAGGATCACCATAATTCACATTTGTTAAGTCCTCCAAATTATATTTATTGACTTTCATTACTTTGATTTCAGTTCTAATGCAATTGATGCTGTAACTCATAAAATGGTTGTCTAGGACATAAAATTATGAGCTGTGGTAATTTTAACTGAATTTACATGTACCTATTCTTTATTAAAAATCAACAGTGTGATTAAATTTTAACAATCAAAGTGTCATGCCGAAAACCTCAATCTATGTGTGATGATCACAACCTCAGTGTTACAGCCTTAACATACATATGTATTTCTTAAGTTTGGACAAAGAAAATACTCAATTATAATTTAATAATCACCTAATATATCGTAAACAACATGCAACACCATACAACATTTGGCAGTTGAATATTTAGGATCTAAGAATGATTAAATCAAGTTTCATGGCTACACAATGAGCGAAAAAAAAATACGAAGCCACATCATTCCAAGTAAAGAACTTCCTTTTATAGTCAGAAATCAATTGTAGGCGTCGTGTCCTGCCACCTGCCTTTGGCGGCCAAAATGTTCTCCTGCCTGTGAAGCTAGTTTGTTGGTTCCCATCTGAAGCCCAATCACATTCTGTCCTTCCTTAAGCTGCTGTTCTGTGAACTCACGCTTGTTTTCTGTAGCCTCTTTGGGTCCCAACGTTGGTACGGACAAACCTTTTGTTCCAGCCTGCCCATGTAGGTACACATGATTGAATGAGTGAGTATGGGGTATGAATGAAGTGGTTTGAAACAATAATTTACAACATTTAATTCCACAGTTTTAAAATGACATAAATTTTAGTAAGCGTCACATAATTTTGAGTCCCTTGAAATCTAATTTTAACCCCTCATTTTTTAAACTCATTCATAATCATTGGATGGTATGCCAAACATCACAGAGAGACAATCATATTGCAGAATTGAAAACTTAATGAATGGCAAAGACTTTTTCTACAAGATCAGAGCTAATTTCAATGGCAATTTCTCAAGTCCTTGTTAAACCCACTTATTGGAGAATAAGACCTTTTGATTGAATATGATACCAAATGCATGATATAGGGTGAGAGAAAGAATATACTGATTAAAAATTGTTTTGATTGTCTACTCAATGTGCAATAAAAGAAAAAAAAAACTAACTAACTGATTGACTAGCAAGTAACTACAATGTGAGTGAGAGTGAATTGAAATCCCAATTGTGGGTAGAAAATCTTGTAAATCTTTGAGGCTGATAATTTTTCCCAAAAACCAAAGGATTATGTGTACTAATGACATCCGCAATGGACTGTTGATCAATACCATCAGTCAATATCCTCGATCGACATTTTGATTGGTACTCGGTTGACATCCCGATCAATACAGAGTTGACACTCGCTCTGCAATTGATTAACAGTCAGTCGATAGTTGGCCGTGTGTTGACCGACTTTTGTGCATTGATCTAAAATTAGTCAGCTGTTGACCAACTGTTGACTGAGATGTTGATGGAGTATTGATTGAGTGTCAACCAAGGTGTCGCTAGAGAGTTGATCAAGGGTCAATCAACAGTATGGATCAACACTTGACTGCTGATGCCTTTAGTACACATGATCTCTGTAAAATGTAAATTACAGAATCTATTCTTTTTGCTGTTTAATTTACTTGATTCATCTGGAAACAAAACATTCCTGGACATCCAGGCATATTTTGTTTGGAGGTTTTGAAGTAATTCAGTAAATGTTTATAAATGTATAATAAAATACTGAATGTACTGAATGCACTGATTTGGCAAGTTACCTACTGAATTTTCAAATCATATAACATTTATACATCAAGAGCAAAATGACAGTGCTAGTAATAGCATTATTGATAACATTTTATAATTCTTGGAATTGCTGTATTTCCTCATACTTTATTGAGCTATAAGCCTACTACCCTCAATAATTAAAAGTGCTTTGCTCTGGTGCTTGAAATGTCAGCTATGGCTACGCCAGTTAATTTACCTTTACCAAATTGAAGCTGGCATTTAGCTAAATGTTTCAGTTGTACACCTACACATACTGACAGCCAAATAGTTTTACTAAATAAAGTACCTTACTTCAATATGCACCTAGCTAGAGCTATACAGAATCATGAAATTAAAACTCTTAAGTACCAAATGCTTTTTTGGATTTACAGAACAAGGTACTAGTAGTCTGCATGAAGACAATGAGCTAGAAGTGGAATTGCTCAAATATAAAGGCTTCTTACCAAAAAAAAAAAGAAAAAGAAAAATAGGAGACTCAGTCAAGAGAAAACCTGATAATTGGAAATAAGTTCTCCAGGCACTTAATGAAGATAATATTGGGTATTGATATAAATCTACTAGCGTTCTGTCACAAATGGTGTTCTCTGATTGGCTATGCTACTCACTATCTATTCTGTGATAGGTAGTGAGTAGCGTAGCATCGTGCGGGCCGCTTCTTTGTGTTTTTGAAGATTCTTTGAAGAGGATTTAGATTAAATTTTTCAACGACAAGTAGATTTATACTAAAACAATTAGATTACTCGCTCTTGATTTCTATGCATGATAGTTGACTCGGGCTGTGCCCTTGTCAACTATCACGCGATAGAAATCTCAAGCTCATAATCTAATTGTCTAATATATGCTTAAACCACAACAATCAAGAACCCACAAGTTGAATGGCTTTTGAGACATTGGTGAGATTGTGCATGCCACAAAAGACAAAGTGCATGATATATGTATTTCTAGAAATCTTTATCCGCAATGATGACATTTTAAAATTCAAATCAATTATTGTTAGTAACTCTTTTCTATAAAGGGAACATGGTAAGAAACAGCATTACAGTTATCTGCGATCATTAAATTTTCTTGCATGCTTTAAGAAAATAAGATACACAATTCTTATGTTCCAAGGTGGTTTCAAATTCCAATGGAAGAGGCTAAACTAGGTTAAGACCATACATCTTAAAAATATAGAAGTGAAGTGTCCTGTTAGTTATTTAAAGGCAACAATATTATGGACTGAATCAATACTTTCTTTTTGTAATGAATCATTGTTAAATAGTGAACTACCTAGTTAAATAAAATAAAAAAGGTACTACCAAGAAAAAAACTAAATCTTACCCGGCGTCCACATGCATGAATCTGATCTAAGACCTACAATAGAAGATCTAGAGGTTACAATTTCTCAAACTCTCTCTGTTGGCCTGAAAATTGGCAAATCCTACAGGTATAGCATTGGCTAAGGCAGCAATTTGTTAATGCTCCTTGCTCCATGAGAAGCTAAATAAAAGGAACAACTCTCCATGGGGCACTCCCATATGAAAAGCTTGGGGCTGCTCATTGTCTTCCTTACGGGTATAAATCAAGGATTCTGGTCTCACTGCCTCTGGATGTTCATGACTAAACACCTCTATTTTAGACTGTCAAAGTATCTTTTAGGGTGCACTCTAAGAAATTATAAAAATTAAAAAAAAAAGCTCACATTTCTGTTTTTAGGTTTGATTTCTGCCGGTCTTTCTAGTTTGGCTCCTTTCCTGAACAGCAGCTGATAATCACGCCTATTCTGTTTTAAGTGGTATCTCTTAGGGGTCAAATAGAATACATGCCATACACAGATTGGTCGTCTTTAGGGTTTCAATTCAAGTTTTCCGTCAAGCATTCAAAAAGTTATCATTTATAAGTTTCCCCATCTCCCCCACCCTGCACCCCCCCTCGGGGATAAGTCATAGGTACATAGTTTCTTGTGTGCAGCTAAGTACATGTACATGCGTTTCACATGTTAATCACTATTGACAAACAAGCTAATTACTAGAATTGATAATCTTACAATGTAATAGTCCAATAATTGTTAACTTACTGCACTCATATTTTGCTTTTCATACAAGTCCACAGTCTGGAATTGATCTAATTTTGCTACTCCCAGCTTTTCCTCACAAAATTTCAAGTAATTTCCTATATTTTCCATCTGAAAAAAAATTGTCCAAAAATATACAAATTAAAAAGATTAAAAATGGTAATACTTAATTACCCAATCTCTCGAGTAATACTTTCCCCTGGTCTGTTGGTTTTAATGTTGAAATTAAAGGACTTTTCCTCCTTATGATAAAAATATATCCATAAAAATAATAACTTGCAACTGAAGATGTATGTTTGTTTTAATTAAGCCAGTGAACAATTAAGTAGATGTACTGACTTTCCAGCATAATGTTGCACTTGATCAACAACACTTGCAGAGCAAAATGCCTGCGGAGTTCAAATACTAAAGTATACTTCATTTAGTTTTTGTTTTACAGTACTCAGTGTTAAAAGGACATGGTTATGAATACACTCTATCTAAACTTAATCACAAATCTTTGAAAGAAGGACAGAGAGAAGAAGCGGGAAGTTAATTATCTGCCCAAGATCTAATTGACTAATTAACTACCTATAACTAATACCTAGGGAGTAAATGATCAAAATTGCAGTTGCAAATCTGAGCTAGTAATCTAGTCATAATAATGTCTTGATGCAATTAATTAATTAATCACTACTTTGCCTACTAAGTACTCAAGTCATCTAAAAACAAATTAAATCACCTTTTTAAATGCCAAGTTTGAGTCGTTTACTTTGATTCCAGGCCCTAAGCTATTGTTTGGGTCTGCTGTGCATAGAGCATTGGCTAGTCTGCAAGAAGAAACAAAATTATTATTCTACTGCTGTTATAACCTTTGATACTTTCATCTGAAAAAAGTGCTGTCTTTTGAAGTGCTACTATAATGAAATTTGCATCTTTATAACCTTTGATACTTTCATCTGAAAAAAGTGCTGTCTTTTGAAGTGTTACTATAATGAAATTTGCATCTTTCTTATCTAAGCCATAATTTTGGAACATAAACAAGTAGTCTGCACTAGAAGAAAAATGCTTTTTAAAATGGATGAGCAACCAGGATAAGCCATAATTAAAATTGAAAAAAACGTTCTCTGGTTGAAATACTTTAAAATTATGAGCTTTCAATTGCCAGTCTGCAATCTTTGACAAATAGTGAAGAAAACACGTGATCATTGAAATATATACAGTAAAAAGTGCGAAGTAGAAAAAATTACAATAAGAACAAAAAGATACTTGCAAGGAAATAAAATGCTAATATGGGGTTCATGAAAGAACAGAGTACTGTCCAGGTAATGGTGTTGAGTTATGTCCGATTCAATTGTGATTGCAGCGTGCTTATTAGAAATTCCTGTGTGGCTTTTCAGGGTCACGTCGCTTGTCACTTTTACTCCTTGGAAGGCCTCATAAGTAAGCTTATATGACACTTACTCCACAAGGACTTTTCCATCACCCAAGACTTCGTGCATATGGTCTGCTCCACATTTATCACCAAAGACATTTCTCCCCAAGACAGCTTCAATCCACTGTCGGGCCTCTTGCTCTAAATCCAAATCATACTTGGCGTCTTTCTGTTATGACAACAACAGGGATTGAAACATGGTTACATGGTTGCTTTCTTTGCCGACATGTTCATGGTGAACACAAGTTCATAACGCCCTAACAGCTACATGTCTGGAAAAGTTGACAATGTGCTTTCTCTGCAAGTAAAGTGGACATTGAACAATTGATTATCCCCAGCTCAATCAAATTCAAGGCACCAGAAAACTGCAGTCTTGAAGCCACATTTCTGCACAGAGACAAGCTTATATATTTTGAAATCCTAGCTTCAGAAAGAAAAAGCAGTCAACCAATAAACCAAACCAATAAAGCTTAAGTCAGCTTTTTAGGAAAATACTAAGAATGAAAATAACTATAAGCTTAAATTAACACCGAATAAGCTTAAGCTTATAATTAACTTAAAGTTTATATGAAAAACAACAACGTTTTAAAGCTGAAATAATAACAAGTTTATTTTCACTTACATGGACCTAAAGATCCGCTCACTAGCTTTGTCATTTTACACTTCAGTGTTTTAAAGTTGTTAAGTTATCCCGTGCAGTTCTCCCGTGCATTCTCCCGTGGGAACATGCAGCTAAACACAGGAATTGCACGCTGTTAAAGAGTTAACCATTCCAAGTCAGCGCTAACTTAAGCTAACCGAAACGCTACTCAGGCTAACCGGAGTGCTGTTCAGGCCAACCAAAGTGGTATTTAGGCTAGCCGGAGTGCTGTTTAGGTTAACCAAAGTGATATTCAGGCTAACCGGAGAACATTTTAGTGTAGTACTGACAATTGCTGTCTTTGGCCGCAAGGGCCGCCATTGTGAATAGGGCGCAAAAAGACTGGGATGAGCAACTTTTTTGAGGCCCAGTTTTCCCCGGCCATGAAAATAAAATTACTGGAGTTAACCCAGCCCCTGGGTTAACCATTAGCCGTTAAACGGGCCAAAAATTTAGCCTTAGCCGTAAAAAAAAAAAGATTTAGCCACGAAAGCGAAAGCCTCAAGAACGCTTGTCAAGCCTTTTCCATGTCTGTTCTTGTGGCTTGGTAGCCGACAGAAAAAGGACGACAATTCTTATACCTTTTTTTGTTCAACAGTAATTAAAATAAATTTTTAACTTTTTAAACAATGAAAACATAATTTTTAACTTTTTAAAACAAGGGTAATTAATTTCTAAGATTTCTGTTTACCGTAAGGAAAATAAATTAACCGTTAGCCGTTAAAAAGCCAAAATATTAACTGTCAGCTGTAGAAGCCACGACCCCATCGAGACCCTCCGAGAAGGCCGCAACAAATTCTGCGTTACTTTAATAATTCTGTTATTCTGTCAATGACGTGACCCGACAGACAATTGAGTGTATCCATATCAAGGGTTTCCGTTTACGCCGGATATTTTGGAGGATAAAACAAAAACCTCATTTCTCATAAATCTGACATTTTACCTTAAGTGAAGTTATACGTTTCCAAAACATGTTTTCTGCTTTAGCACATGGCGAAATGTAGAAGAAAACGTTTTTCGGTCTTAATTTAGCTTATTTAATCTGTACAGTGCCCGCGCAGATTAGGAGAAGAGAAAACAAGGCTAGCGAGCAATGAAGCTGTTTTTCAGCATGGAGTAAATTTATGGCAAAAATATAATTGAGTATTGTGGTGGCAAGAAGATGGCTAACCCCAATGATTTTCGACTAAAATCGCAAAGATATAACCACACGCTGTTGAAAAAACAGCTCCAGATGATTCAGGTATTGAAACTCACTCGAGCAAAAAATAGAGAGACATCATTTCCAACTTTGAATTAATTTCGTTGTCATCCTTTCTACTCTTAAAACCATGAACAAATAGCTCCAACAAACAGTAAACATCCATTCAGCTCTACAGCGCTAGCTGACAAATTCCTGGTGCTGCAACTGAGCAACAGCTGAAGCTGAAAAGTGGGGAGTTGGCCGTGTTGGCTCGGCATGGAAGCTAGTTTAAAATGCCATTTTTCAAGGACAAGAGACTATTTGAATTAGGCTTAAACTCTTACTTTTCGTTGCAACTCAGCTGTGAGTCCATATCCTCTTGCTTTTCCTGCCATGGTAATACGTTTACGCTGGAACACGGAAGGAATACTCGCCAAAGAAGTTACTGCAACGATGGACAGATTTAAAGTGTCTCATACAATACAGACGCAGACCTTCATATTACGACCCCCAGAATCCCAGCTATGTGGGTGGGGCATGAAGGTCATGACAGAAGGGTTCTATGGCTACGATAAAAGGCAAGGATGCTGCAGAGATTCTTAATTTACTAAACGAAATAAGTCAATTAAACTCTACATCTTGATCAGAAATTATTATTATAGTTGACATAAAAGTCACAAACTCTGGAAACTTCTCAGGATAAATTTGTTTTTGGAGCTAAGGGGACGGTGGTATCTGTATGATCTCATTTATAGCCACTTGAAATTTTTTTGTACTTTCTCTCGTCATTCCACCCAACAGTAACGAAATTCATTGGCAGTGACTGGGTGAAAAACAAAAACAAAATGTATAATTGGACTCAGTGATTGAGTCGCATAAAATGTTAGTTCAAGTTAACTCGAGCAACCCCGAGCATCGGCAAAGGTTCGAGAACTATAATGCCCATATATGGAAGTCAGTGCGGCAACCGTATTCAAGCTTGTTTGAAGTCTCGCCGCAAAGTTGACACATGTTTATAAAATTATTTAATCAAGAATGAAACAATTTCAATCGTAGAAAACTCGTTTAGCTACACCGCACTTGAGGTAACAATTTTCGCAAATATGAAATATAGTGTAGTATATTGGATTTCCGATACCTAGGAATCCAATAATTGATCAAATTCCACTCCAACAGCAAATAGTGGAATTGATAAACGTCCATAGTACACTGACATCTTTGTCCCTAACACTGATAGCATCAATCCGCGATATCGCCATGATCGACCTCAATCAAACCTTAGGCACCACATCCAGTCATCCTTTGACGTTCTTTTCAATTTAGCACGGGCTGTTCGTGCCTCGTATAAATTCAGGCAAACACCGAACTCGAATTTGTTATGCATGTGACAATTTCGGATGTTGACAGGTTATATCTTTAATTGTGGGAAACTAATAATTTAGACCAGCACAGTAGATGTCAAAATCAGCAATTGTCCGAACATCAATTTCACGCGAGGGATGAATTCGAATCCTCTAGGGCGGGGGCGGAGGGCAGGGGGGTGGGGGGAGGCTGGGTGGATTCATATGTCAAAAGGTCGGGGATGCTCGTCGTCTTAGTGGTGTAAATCACGGATTTTTGTCTCACTTAGGATTTCCAGGATGAAACACCACGATTCTAAGCCTTCTTTTACGGGTTGCGCTTGAAGAAATATTTTAAAAAACGATGTCATGTCTGTAATAAAGTGGCGTTTTTTTTTAGGGGACATTTTTAGGGGACAAATAAAGCTCGAGCCATGCCTAGATATGATAGGTCTTCATTCAAATTTTTCGACGAGCATCCCTAACTTTTTCACACGGGAGTTTACCCCTCCCTCCGGGTTTCGACTAGTCTATACTCAAACGAGATAGCCCGAAGGAAACTGGAAACCGGTTTTAGAGCATAATATAGAAAATATTGTCATGTTCTTCCTGCGACTAAAATTTCTATAACAAGACTTTTGCGTGTTATTTACAGTATGACTAGGAATTCAGAAAGAGCCGTGTGCCCTTGTGAGGATGTAGTAAAATGACAACATGGATTTTAGATAAATTTACGCTGCAGGCTTGGGAAAGATCGGCAATCGGCAGACCACCCTGGTTCGTGTGGTCCAATTTGAGAAGTGTTTGACCGTCTCAAGCCTGTTTTGTTTCCTAAGGACACGTTGAAGCATGTGAAAGTAGCTTTTCAACAACAGAAGCCTACTTTTACCCTGGAAAAAGTGGTTCATATCGCGAAAAAATCGGAATAAACGCCTAACGAAAACTAAAACTGAGTCAAAATCAGTCATTTTGGACTGAACGTTTTCTGATTGACAGAAAACTAAACTGCTTGCTCGTGATTGAGCGTTTTCGCGTTACATGCATTGAGTTGGCTTGATCAAATGTAGTGTCATTTCAGAGCAAACAACGTAGGGCGTAGGGTTTTTTCCATTCACACTTTCCACAAGTCTTCAATAGCAGCTGCGGGAATTATCAACATTAGAAATTCGATCGTTTGCACACTGCTGTTTAGCTCTGTTTAGTTCGAAGTTCGGCCAGTGTACTTACACTCACTGTACTGTAAGTTCGTGCCTTTTCAGATCGAGGTGAGATTGTGTATCTTTTTGTAAGCTTAAGCTTACTGAATTTTTATCTTTCCGCTGAAATGTGATTGGTGGAATTATGCTCAGTTCAATACAGTCACCATTTTCTCCGTCGTACGTTACCGATGAAAGTCGAAGGGGTGCGGTTGGTTTCTTGCTTCTCAAGACGTTTTACAGAATTTGTTTTTCAAATGGTAAGCTTAAATTTCTTCACCAAATTCACAGTTGCTTTTTGTTGGTCTTGTCAGTTTGATATAAGTTTAAGCTTATGGTAAATCCGTTTTCTCAGAGAGAGCTTATTAATTCTAACTAAATGATGAAGTAAAATTCCATAATTTGCGGAGACTGTGCCGTAAGCAAGTTCTAGTACTTCTAGATTGCAGCCGTAGATTGCTGTGCGCATGCAATCGAGCAATGATAACTTATGTCAGGTTGTTGATGACGAAACGATCGAAGACGGTTTCCATGGATTTGTGAGAAAACTCAATCATTTGCTTCAGAGCTATCGGTGCGTTCAGCATTGAGATTCGGAGCAAGAAAATTGTGATCAATTTCAACGGCAGTCAAACGGAAGAGAAAACCACCAAACGGAAAAACAAACAAACAAAGCACGGGAAAAGTTTCGAGAAATTTGTCGTTCAAGCTCGGCGTCAGAGACCGCAGTTAAAACGCGATGGCGACCTGGCTTGGCGGAGAGATTAAAGGCGACAAGAATCGCCTTTCTCCAGTTCAACAAAAATCCAAAATACCAATCCCCACAGTGACTCGTTTGAGCAACAAGCGCAGGACAAGCTCCTCGTCTACAGACGAAGTTAATATGAAGCAGCACATACTGAGGAATTGCGCGGAAAAACTTCAAAACAAGCCGCCATCCCGGATTCCGAT